GATGAGGTTGAGAAGGTGGGTAGGGACCAGATCATGGAGGATGTTCTGGGAGAAGAAAGCCTCAGGCCTCCCACATTAGTGTGTTAATTAACCCTAACCCATCATGTTCTGGGCAAGGAGAGAAAGAGAGAGGAAGGCAGAGTGGGGGCTGACTGTACAACCACTTTGGGGAAGACATTCCTTTCCTGTCTGAGCATCCTCTGCCTCCAGACAAGTAAGTTCCTGTTCTTCGAGCACAGCCAGCTCCGCCCTCCCCACCTGCCCCCAAGCTTGGGGCACTAGGACCCTGAAACCACTGAAAGCCCCCAGAGCCCAGCTATGTTGAAGCAAAAGATTTCAGTTAAGGTTAAAGGGACGCTGTCAAGATAAAAATCACATCTATTTCCATGTCCTCTTTGGTGTTATTAATAACCCTCCAGATTATTAATGCTGAAATAATTTTTGCTCTCGCTCTGCAGTCAATGATGTTTACGGGTTTGGGGTTTTTTTTTTCCACTTTTTTTCTTTTTCCTTTGCACTCTCAGAGGGTGAAATTCAATTAGGCTGGTCTGTGGGGATGAATTTCTGGTCTGGTTTGTCTTTGTGTCCCCCTGGGTGCCAGTCAAAGGTTGTAGGAGTTTGGGTTTAGAACATTTAAATGAAAGGAGAGGTCAGGGTGGTGGGGAGAGAGAAGAAAAGTAATTCCATTATCTGGTTTTCTAAAACTTTTAAAAAAATTTTTTTGGGTAACCAAATCATCCCTGGAGACCTGCTTCCTTCAATGTATCTTTTTAAAAAAAATACATGGGGAGGGAGAGCTGGTGATTTTGACCTTAGGTGCTTTGTCATGTTTTAGCTTTAATTGTGGTCATTTTTAGTTCTCTATGAGGTGAATATAGAGGCTTCACAAAGCCCTCCCATGGGCCTCCAGGAAAGATTGTGTCTCTACTGGACAGGCTTTAGAACATGCAAGGAATATCCCCCAAAGGGAAAGAGAAGAAATGTGCCACTGGTCTCAGTAATGAGGGTCCTGGCCTCCCTGACATTAGTCAGCTTCCTCGGGATGGCTCATCATCTCAGGAAAGGGTAGGAGAATGGCCCCAACAGCCTCCCCACCCCCGAGTCTAACCCTGAGTCCCTGTGTCTCCTGCTGTGTTCCTCATCCGCCTCCCCCAACGTTTGCATCTGTAATCATTCTATAGCTGAGCTCCTCCTGGCCTGCTGAGAACGGACGCCCATTAAATACACACACTTAACTAAATGCACTGTCTGTAATGAAGCAAATCGTGGAATGACCGCTTACGATACCACATAGAACAATGATAACTGCTCAAAATGACCCAGACTCCTTGTCCTCGCTCTTCTGAACATCACAAATAACCATTCAAGGCTAACACTGACATAAACAATTAGCAAGAGACGTCCCAGGATGAAGAGATCAGGATTGAAGGTGAGGCTTCCAAAGCATTCATGGGATCTATGGTGTTTAGAGGGAAAAGGAGCCCTCTAAGATCAGCTTGTCCAACTTCTTCATTTGCCACGTGGGGAAGTGGAGAGCCTCCAGAGGGGAAGTCACTGGCCCAGGGTCACACCATCTGGTGTGACTAGGAGAGTCAGGATTCCAACCCAGACCTTCTGGGTTTCTGCTCTCCACAGAAGACAGCTCATAAATTTTGCCACGCTGTTCTCCATTACTTCTGGAACATCTTCCTCCCTTGTTCTTCTTGATTCTCCTCAAACCCCTAACTGCTCTTCAAGGACAGAGGTCCTAAGGGCCCAGAAACTAGATTCTAGCCTGAGTTCCTAATCTTGCTTCTGTTAAACAGGAAAAATAAATAAAGAAATGTCAAACTATTTTGGAGATACCCTATTTCCCAGAGCTAAGGCCCTGCAAGTGGGCCGTGCCCTTAGCTTGGCATAACGATAATCCTTTGCACTCTGGATGATATCACCCTCTGGCAAAATGTCTTGCTTGGACCAGCACTGAGGGATTTAGCTCCCCCTATTTCCCAGGGCCATCCATCACATGTTCACAATCCCTGTTCCTTGTTACTGCCAGGCACTGCACTCCTGTTCCCGTCACAGAACTCTGGTTCTGCACCCCAAAGAGTAAGAGACTTGAGACAATGACTTCCCATGGTATCCAAGAACACCTGTATCGTCCCAAGAAATGCCAACCATTGAGTAGTGGTCCAACCCCTTTCATGTATATAAGTGACCCCAGCATCAGCAGTGTTAACTCCTCCTTTGTTGGAGGGCAGGGTATTCTGTTTGCAAATGCCATTTTCCTCACTCTGAAATTAATTAAACTTCTGTTTATGTCCTGAAACACTTGTCTCCAGTCTGTTCTGTTCAGGCTACAGGCACTCACAGATTAGAAGCCGGTTCCAGTCCAGTTGACAGGAAGAAGCCCTGAGCTAGCTCCTCAGCTTTTTACCTCAAGACCTAGCCCTGCTGCAATGGCTCCTGGTTTTTTTTTTACTGAATATGAATCATTTCCTGTCCTGGACAACAAACTTGTCCTACTTTGTGGGAGGTGATAAAGGAAATACAAATACACTGTGCTAGGTACCGAGACAAAAGCTAAAGCAATTCCTACCATCAAGGAGCTCTTATCCTTCAGGGAAACCAATATATATATATGCATCTAGGTTATTGTATACATTTGTGTTTGTATTTGTCTTGTATATATGGTAAGTATTTGTCATTTGGAAGAGAAAGAAGGAAGAGCTAGGCTCATGTAGGAAAAAGTTCTCTCCAGCTGAGCCTAGAAGGGAGCTAGGGATTCTAAGAGGCAAATGTGAGGAAAGAGGACACTGCTGGGATGAACAGCTGATACCAAGGCACAGACTGGAGTTGGGAGTTCCATGTGCAAGGAATGACAAGAAGGCCAGTGGAGCTGATTCAACAGAGGGGATGAAGGGGGTTAAAGTAGAACTGGAAAGGTAGGAAGGGGGCCCGATGGTGAAGGATTTTAAATGCCAACCAGAAGAGTTTGATCCTGGAAGCCATAGTAGCTCCTGGAGTTCACTGAGGGGATGGGAGGGGCAGGGTCAGACCTGCCCTTCAGGAAAATCACTTTGACTGCTGAGGGGAAGGGGGATTAGGGGATGTTTTACTAGGCTAGAATAGATATGGGGCAGGACAATAGAGAATGTTTCACTAAGCCAGGACTGTATGGAACATAACAGTCACTAGGTAAATAACTTTTGCTTCCTGTTTTGGAGAAACTTAATAGTCTTTATTCATTCATATGAGAAATGCCCAAAAGAAGCAAAAAGTGCTATGAAATCCGATGGAGAAGTCACCCTCCAGCTGGGAAAACATGAGCCAGTATGAACTATTCTGTTTCTACTGACTTACTTCCTAGGAATTCTGATGGCGGAATCTGAAAAGCAACATCCCTGGCTTTGAATCAGTGTCCCATTCCCAAAGACAGAGGATCCATTATTCCAAAAAGTCCTCCCAGGCAGCTCTCTCACATTGGCCTCCAGAGCAGCTTGTGCCTAAGCCCACCACCAGTGAATCTGTCTCTTCACTGGGTTCTCTAGGGGACACTGAATCTCCTATCTGCCTCCTTTACTGCTAGCTCAGTCAGGTCCAAAACGAACCCATCGCAGGTCTGTGAAGGAAAGAGGGCTTCTTACACTTTTTCTCTGTTCCAAGCTGGTGTGTGTGTGGATGCTGGGGAGGAGTGCAAGAATCACAGGATCAAGAGCTTGGAAGGACCTTTGAAATCATCATCTCATTTGACCCCCTCATTTTATAGATGAGGTCCAGAGAGGTTAAGTAATTTGCCTCGAGGTTGCAAAGCTAGGATGTGAACCCTGGTCCTCTGAGTTCAAATTGAGGACACCTTCTATTTCACTCAGTAGGCTGCCTCTAGTGATTCTGAGAAAAGCCCAAATTCTGTCTTTTAGGGCAGATGGCACGATGATATCCTTCAGGAGAGGAAACAATGATGGGAAAACCTGAGATTACCTGCGCATCATTTGGGATCTTTGCAGATATATAATAACAACTGGTCATTTATGTAATGCTTCAAGTTTTACAGTGTTCTCAGCAGGGCTCATGCCTTCCTCATTTGAGGATGTATTTCTGGTAACTAAAAATTCTGTTACCTGGATTCCTGGCACCTTAATTCTCCCTCAGTGTTTATTGCTTCCCAAGCTGGTGAAGCCATCCTGTTGATTCCTTCATACATCAGTCTGTTTGGGAATCCACAATCACAAGGAAGAAAGATCAGAAAAGATTTTCTTTTTTCTTTTTTTAAATTTCATTTTACCAAAGTCTCCAGTTGGTACTTCAAAGGGCCATACTGTGGGAATAAAATTGTTAGGAGGACCACAGATGTATGTGTATGTAATTTGCATGCAATGTACATATGAGTGGCGGCATATGTTGTAGAAATAGTGCTGGGTTTAGAGTTGAGACCTGGATTTGAATCCTGAATCTCTCATGTCCTACCTGTCTGACTACGGGCAAATCACTTACCCACTCTGAGTTTCAGTTCCCTCATCTATTTAAAGGGGACAGTGATATAGCTCACTAGGCTGTTGGGAGAAATCCCATTGGAAAAGTTAAAGCACTGCATAAATGTGAGTTGTTATTATGTAACCATGAACCTCAGATTTGCCCATCATTCTTTCCTTTGCTGAAAGAATCGTTTGAGTTTTTTTCTTTCTCTGTCCCTTCCCCTTCAGTGACTATCACTGACCCGGAAAGAGTAAGGAGACACATGCAAAGGCAAAAGAATTGCGGGTCTGTGTGTGTGTGTGTGTGTGTGTGTGTGTGTGTGTGTGAGATGGGTAAGCCCACCAGAAAGCTTAACCAGATTGCCAGCAGCACTGGAACCGCAGTTTGAAGCATTGCTGACCTGTTCTGCTTGAAGGTGCTTCCCTGTATTTCCAAGGCTTCTACTGAACAGGAATCAAACTTGAACATCTTGGCTTGGCTCCTGGGCATGTTTCAAGGATAAAAATATCACACGCTTTAAGTCTTGCCAACAACTGATTTTTATAAAAACCAAACTCCCAAATCCCCATACACAGCAAGAAGAAACCAAAACAAACAGAAGAAGCTGGTGCTTCAGAGGAGCATCTTAGCTTAGTCTGGCTGCTGAGAATCCTCAGGGGGTCACTTTAGGAAAGTGGAAGGTGGCAGATACCCACTTCCTCAGAGAACCTTCTTTGGCGGTCAGGATCATTGATGACACCTTTGTATTGACATCATAGATTAGTATTGGAGGCAGCTCCTTCTAACTGATATTGTGAATCAGGGTCTATCAGTAACCCCTTTTTGTGGACGCTGTAAGTTAAGGCAGTTAAGTAGCCCCTTTATGGTGACATTGTGAGTTCAGTTGGATGGTGGCTAGAGGCAGCCAGGTGGATAGAGCTCTGGGCCTAGAGTCAGAAAGACATAAGTTCAAATCTAGTCCCAGAGACTTACTAGGTATGTGACCTTGGGCAGGTCATTTAGTCTCTGCCTCAGTTTCTTCAACTGTAAAATGGGTATAATAATAGTACCTACCTCCCAGGATTGTTGTGAGGATCAAATGAAATAATGTTTATAAAGTGCTAACAGTGTCTGGCACATAGGAAGCACTATTATTGTTATTATTAATTTTATTGACATTATAAGTTAGGGTCCATGGTATCACCTTTGCATTGGCATTGTAGGTGATCAGTGGTGATCATCTTAGTGATGACATCGTATGTTAGCTGTCGTGGTATCTCCTTTGTTGTGACACTGTAGATTGGGGCAGTGGTAATGCAACTCCAGTTTGGTGAGGTCACCTTTGTATTACACTGTAGGTTAACTTTGGGGGTGACCCTTTTATAATTGTGATATGGATTAGGGCTGGTGGTGATTGATATTGTATTGATATTGTAGGGTAGGATTACCAGGCTTATCTTTGTATTAACACTGTAGGTCAGACAACAGATAAATGGTCATAGGATATGAACAAACAGTACTCAAAAGAAGAACTGCAAAATATTCACAACCACATGAAAGAATTTTCCAAATAACTAACAATAAGTGAAATGCAAATAAAAAACAACCTTGAGGTTTTATTTTACATTCTGATACACGGCTGGGGAGGGTGGACCAAAAATGGCAATAGTTAATGTTGGCGGGTTGTGGAAGGACAGGTACACTAATACATTGTTGGTGGAGCTATGAAATGGCACAACCATTTTGGAAAGCAATTTAGAATTATGCAAATAGATTTTTAAAAATCCATACTCCCCATATACTTCAAAATATTTATAGCAGCACTTTTTGTGATAACTAAGAATCAGAAACAAAACAGATGCCCATCAACTGGGACATGGCTAAACAAATTGTGGTGCATAAATATGATATAATATTACTATACTGTGAGAAATGATGTGTGTGATGAATACAGAGAAGCATGGAAAGATCTACCTGAACTGATACAGAGTGAAGGAAGCAGACCCAAGAAAATAATATATGCAATAACTACAAGAATGTAAATAAAAAGAATGACACACCAAAAAACCAGAAGAAAATATTAACAAAATTATAAAGAGCTCATATTATAAAGGGCTCATCTCATTATAAAGATCAATCAGGACTAAAATAAAGAGATATGACAAGACACCTCTAACCTACCCCTTGGTGGAGATGAGAAGTCTACAGATATTACACGTTGCACATGTTTTTCTGCTGTTTTTTTTTCTGGCTAAAAAATACAATTTGTCATATGGGATGGCTGTCTGGGAGACAGAGAAAGACTTGGGATAACTATAGTGATGTAAGAAACAGAAAATATCAATAAAAATAATTTTAAAAATTCTGAGTCAAGGTCCACAGTGTCACCTTGAATCGACTTTGTAGGTCAGGGTGGATGGTGACCCTTCTGTGTTAATGCTCTAAATTATAGTTCGTATTCCCTTTATGGTGACACTGAGGGTTAAGTGGGAGGTGGCCCTCTGTTGTCATTCTGTAGGTAAGGGGTGGTGGTAGCATCTTTGTGATGAAAACAAACAATTCCACATCCTACCAAAAACAAGGGAGAGGGAAAGCTTCAGTACCCTTGAGGTTAGTACAAGGTGTCAGGTATTCAGTCCTCACCTTAGATGCAGAGTGGCAAAGCTCTTTAGCTTTCATGGTTATCACGGAAACTCAACTGGGATGGCCTGGGCACTCCCTGAATTACTTCACCTCTTCAGGCCCAGCTTACTCTTCTATAAAATGAGGGCAAAGGAAGGTCATTTCTAGTGCAAATATTCCTCTAAACCCAGCATCCATTTCAGAAATGCTCAATTTAAGAGGGCTTTTAGAAAACAGCAATGTAAATAGTGAAAAGAAGGTAACAACATGTCCTTATGGAAAGAACTGAAGAATTAAGGCTATTGAGATTAGGAGCTCTGAAGGCAACTTAATAACAGTGTTTCAGATGATGAAGGGTTAATAATACATAGTAGTGTAAACAGCTGCAGAAAGCACAAGATAAAAGGAAGCAGGCTGAAATACTAACAAAAGAGATCCACAGTCATAGAGTCTTGGAGTGGGAAGGGCCCTTACAGGCCATCTGGTCTGACTTAACACAGACATCCCTTCAGCACCTGATCAACCAGTTTCTTTGAACACTTCCAGTGTTGAGAAGCTCGTGAGGCAGTCTGTCCATTTAAAAAAAAATGTTTATTAAGATTTTAATCATTAATAAACACAACCATCCCAATATGCAAATAACAAGGACAGGATATGAAATAATTGACTTCTGTTATATAGTATTTTTAAAGTATCTATTAAGTTTGACAAATTAGCAATAAAATTGCTGTTTGTGTCATCTTCTGAGTGTTTTTGTTTTCTTTTGTATATTTGATTGATGTCTTATCTGTGCTCTTTTCTTTCTTTTTTTTTTGTATTTCTGTGACTCACACTAACTCTCCCTTGCCCCATAGAAGCCCTCCCTTGAAGTCAAACAAAACAAATCAACACATGAGCTATATCTGAAAATATATATCCTATTCCGCATCTCTAGTCCGTCTCTGTGTCTTCCCTGGCTGGGGCAGGCTTTATCATTATTCTTCTTAAGTAATAGTTAGCCTTTCAAAGTTGTTTTCCTTTACATCACTGTGCTCCTTGTATGTATTGTTCTCCTGATCCTACTCATTTCATTCTGCATCAGTTCATACAAGTCTTCTCAAGTTTCTCTGAATTTTTCATATTCATCATTTCTTTCAGCCACATTAATATACCACAAATTGTTCAGCTATTCCCCAACTGACAGGTACATATTTGTTTCCAGTTCTTTGCTACTAAAAAAAGTGCTTCTAGAAATATTTTTGTTCATATACAACCCATTTAGCTTTCACACAGCTCTAACCATTAGAAAGCTCTTCCTTATTCTGAAATGAAATCTGCCTCCCTGTAACTTCCATCCATTTCATCCTACATCTTTCCCCTGACACCCCATACATATCCCATCAGCTACAGAGGCTAAGCCTAATCCCTTTTCAACCTGGACAGCCCTTGAAGTATTTCATAGACTCAACATGTCCAAAAACTGAATTCATTAATCTTTCCCTCAAAACCCTCCCCTCTTCCCTTTCCAGTTGACACCACCATTCTCCCAGTCACCCAGGTTCCAAACCTTGTCATCCACTTAACAAAGTCCTGTAGATTCTACCTATGAAACATTTCTTGTACACACATTCCCTTCTCTTCTTGGACACAGCTGCCACTCTGGTGCAGGCTCTCATCATCTCATGCCTGGATTATTGAAAATAGACTTCTCCCTGCTTCAAGTCTTCCACACTGGTCTATTCTCCATCAGAAGCCAAAGAGATCTTCCTAAAGTGCAGGTCTGACCACCTCTCTGCCCCCTACTCAGTAAATTCCAGTGGTTCCCTATTACTTCCAGGGTTAAATATCAAACCCTCCTTGTGGCTTTTAAACCTAGCCCTTTCCTGTGTCTCCATTCTTTTTGTGTGTTTATTCTTCTTCATATACTCTGTGATCCAGTGATTCTGGCCTCCTTGCTATTTTTCACAGGACATGCCATCTTACCTGAATCTGCTTTTTTCGGTGGTTTGTCCCAAGGTCTGTGTCCAGGCCTGGAATGCTCTCCAGCTTCAACTCCCCACCTCTTGGCTTCCCTGGCTTCTTTCAGGTTTCACCTCAAATTTCATTTCTGCAAGAGGCCTTGACTAATTCCCCTCAATGCTAATATCTGCATAAGGGTTTATTTCCAATTCACCTTGAATATATCTTGTAGGGACAAAGTCACTTGCATGTTGACTCCTCCATTGCAATGTAAGCTTCTGGAGGGCAGGGACTGTTCTGTTTTCACCTTTCTTTGTATCCCTACTATTTAGCACAGTGCCTGGTACAAAGTGCTTAATTAATAAATTTAATTTAAATTAATAAAATGCTTATTGACAGACTTCGAAGAAATTATATGATCAAAACTCCTCAATTTACATATGAGGAAACTAAGGCCCAGAGAGTTTAAGAAACTTGAAGCCATTTCTGACAAACCTATTAAGCAGGGATGTCCTGGACCCAGTTTGATTGTTAAATTTTCAGTGTGAGCATTTACTTATACCTTGCACTTTGGGAATCAGCAAACAGGACAAATCAGGGCTTGGTTTATTGTTTTGGTGACTATCTGGGCTTTAAGAAATTAAAGTGAAAATATTAATAATGCAGAATAAGCTTTTAAAAAGTGTGTCCAGCATATATATGTGTGTTTTTCCAGAGAGTTTCTAAGTCTCATTTTTTTTTCCTTCAGGATAAACAACCCTAGTTCCTTCAACTGCGGTGACAAGGTTTTTAGATCACTCACTATCCTGGCCACTTAAGTGAGGACTACGAGTAATTTCTCAGTTCCGACTACAATTGTTGCAGGCTGTCACATGCTTCAGTTTTTGCTCTTGACTCAATAAGTCTTTTTTGAGCATCTGCTCTGTCCTGGGCTTATGCCTAAGTGAAGCAGGCCCCTGGGTTGGCCCCCACTAATGATCCCTTTCCTTCATTCAAGAAGCATTTATTAAAATGCCTGCCTTGTGCCAGGTACTGTGCTGGCTGCTGGCAATGGAGGGACAAACAAATAGAAAGAAACAGGAGCTGCCCCCAAGGATCTTACATTCTATCCCTCCTCACCTACAGGTTACCTCTGAGCCTATATTGAAATATTATTGTCACAATGCCCCTTTCACCTTTTTAAATAACTCAAGCCGCATCTTCTTCAGAAAGCTTTCTTTGAAACACACCAATCACTAACCTTCAAAATTAATTTCCACGGCACCCTCCTCACAAGGTTACTCCTGGAAAGACTACATAGGTCTTCTTGCATTATTGTTTCATGGTTACCCTGGAATTCCAGGTATTAAGATCTCTGCAGGTAATATAAATACCTATCTTTACCACTAACAATAATAAACTAATCAGTAACATAGTATTTCAAGATTTTCAAAAATGCTTTTCTTAAAATAATGGTTAGTGATAGTACTATTACCCCCATTTTACGGATGAGGCTCAGAGAGGTGACACACTTATGTCAAGACTACGATTAAATGTAGGTCAAAGGACTTGACTACAAGTCATCTCCCCTAGGCCAGGGCTGTTTCCACCACCTCAGTGAGTGCCTTAGGTACATTCGGACTAGAATGAGGTAGAATGAGTCGTAGCTGGATGGCCTATGAAAGCAGCGGGTGGGAGTTGGGGGGAAGGATGATCCAGTAACCCTTCCCCCTAATCAGAATCCCAGAGCCCTCTGTCCTTTCGTTGCTCCAGGAGCAGTCGGTCAGGGTAGAGTTCGCTATCGGTTGGAGGTTCCACTAGTATCTGGTGGACTGGGGATCTGCTGTATGTTCAGCAGAAAGAAAACAGGAGACCTTTCATGAGCCCCGCAGGCTGTGTTCCCGCTGAGGGGAATAGAGAACTTGTTTTGACTGGTAAACTTATCCAGAGGACAGGCAGAGGAGAAGGGAGCTCGGCAAAGCAGCAGCAAAAATAAAACAAAAAAAAACCCCAAACCAAACAAAACAGCCCCAATCACATTTCACACACTCACCTCCCAAGGTAGAAAAGACTTCTTGAGTCTTGCAATCGAGGGAGAGAAGCATAAAAAAGAAATCTCTCTCTGTAGAGGAGGGAGGAGGGGAAAGTAAAGAAAGAGGGGGAGAGAGAGTTCAAAATCACATCTGCCTGCAGCTGGGGAGGTTGGAGGAGGGGGAAACAAAGATTGCAAATTCCCACCCAGTTAGCAGCCGGTTTGGAAGCACTGTGCGCCTTTGCCTCTGGGCGATTAAAGGGCTCAGGTCTCTTTAAGATCAGACTCAGCCAAGTAACCTGTAGCTAGGACTGGAGTTTCCAGAGGGAGGAGGACTATGTTTACACAAAAGCCTCGGAAGGCCGAGCCAGGAGGGAGGGAGCCTGGGATGGGGGTGGGGAGGTCGCCTGGGTCCTTGAGCACAGCCTCCTGGCTCCCGAAGCATTGGCTTTCCACGCACAGCCCTGCTTTCTGAGAGCTCAGGGCTTGGAGGAGGGTGGGCCGCGGAGCCTGGGCTGCGGTCGGGCTGCTGCTGTGTGTTTGCTCGCCTCTTAAGGGCGAAACCCGACCGGGAGCCTCCGTTCTGAGCTCAGAGCTGGCTTTTTTGGAACTCCCAACATAGCGCTTTTTACCATAGACACCGAGAATAGATGTGTTCATTAGCTATGCCCAGCCACAAGAGGGATTTTTGCAAGGCGGGGGCGGAGGGGGATGGCAAAGAAAAAAGAGAACTCTGCATTTTTATTTTTTAAAAAAATGTTAGTGTTAGACTCCGTAGGAGGCAACTCAATCTTTCGATCTCGAGGCGGAGCGGCCTCTTGCTGTAGTGGGTCCACGGGCTGCAGGGGGAGAGCCGGGGCTGGACGAGGCGCCAAGCGGCCCTGGGTCTTCGGGCTCCCAAGGTCATTGTGTGAACCTGGCCGAGCCTCCCAGCCGCGCGCGCGCGGGGCCGGGGCTTCCTGGGCTCCGTCTCCGGGATTGTGCGCGCGTGCCTACTGCACGCAGGTCCAGCGGGGAAAAGAGCTTGGGGTGCAGCAGGGGAACCCAATATGTGTGCCTGCGTCTGGGTGCTCGCTGCTTACCACAGCCCGCTCCCCCCGTCGCCAAACCCTGGCCTTCCTTCCCAGGTTTGAAATGTAGCCGCAGGGGCTTCTGATTTCCCTGCGCCCTTTCTCTGCCATGCCTGCGCGCCCCCTTCCCGCCGCGCCCAGGCTGCTAGGGTTTCCCCCCTCCCCTTTCGCTGTTTTGAGAGAAACCCATTGTACTCTTTTCTGAGGGATAGGGGCCCCTCTGTTTTTTTTTTAAGTGGGGGTGGGCATTTCTTCCCTCGGGGGCTGGAAGGGAGCCCCGTAGGCTGGTGCTTTATTAAGCTTGGGAGTTTTCCGCCGCCTTCCTCCATTTGCACTTTTCCCTCTAATGGTTTTTTACCGGGTAAGGCGCTGCTTCTGAGCTTCAGGTTAGCTATAAAATATTACAAAGTGTGCATTTAAATGCACAACATGCAGGCTGCTCTCCCATTAGTGGAATTAATTTGAATAGATGGCGTTATATTTGGGGGGGAGGAAGGAAGACGCAACCCCTCCTCCCCCAAAAAAGATCGCCCATGAAGAAATGTTCAAAGTGTTTGAGGCAGTGTCCCAAACCCCAAATAAAAATTTATAGGATGAGGAGAGATTTTTTTTTTAATTAAGGGAGGCGGGGGTGGGTGGAAGGAACCGAATTACATCATCCCTTAAAAGACTGCAGAGCAGTTTGTTCATCAGATTAAAAAATAATGCACGCGAGAGTGGGGGAGAGGGGGAGGGAAGGGTAAGGTGGAGCTCCGCGCTGGGGGTGGGGGTGGCGGGGGGGGTAAAAGAGGAGCATGTTCGGCTTTGCTGAAGTTTTTGAAAAGGATTGAACTGCAGCCGGAGAGATGGGAAGCGTCGGGGGAGGCCGGGAGGGGGGAAGGGGATGGGGGGGAATCGTGTGTTGCAAGGAGGCGCTAGCTGCACCATGTAGAGCCTCCCAGCCATGGATAGACTCCCGAGGGTTGGTGGGGGGTGGGATGGGGGAGGACGGCTTAAAAGGACATTTCTGCTCATATGGTGTGTATTAACTAGCGTCTTTCTAGTTGTAAAGAATAATTTAAAGCTTTTTGGGTTTTGTTTTGCATTGACAAATGAACATCTGGGCTGAATGCTGCCCTAGCTTCTTTATCAGAGAACTTTCCTCCCAGAACATTGATTGCCACTGTGGCACTAACGGCTTTAACGGCTTTTCCCCACCCTCGGGCCCTAACCATCCTCATTTGAATAGGTTTGCAGTTATATTAACCTTTCAATATAAATGCTCCTTTCTCCAATTTTTTTTAAGCTGCAAATTATTTCAACTCCATCCCTCCCGCTTTTTCGAGGCTTTTGATTGTCTCTCTCTCTCCCCCTGCTCCCAATGTGAAGGGGGGATAATGATGATGATGATGACCCCACCCCTCACTTACTCCTTTTTACGTTCCTCCATGTGCAGTTTGGAAAATGATGCCTTTTGGGAGCCTTTGGGGGCTGCTGTTTGGCTGGGAGGTGGTGGGTGCTGGAGATGAATTTTATCTGGTTTGGTGTCCAGCCCAACAGTTCCCAAACATTTTTGTAAATTTCTGAGGAGCATAAATACAGACTCTCAAAACAAACAGGCTGAAAAAAAAAATCCCCAGGCCCCACCAAAGCTTCTCTCTGGCCAAATAAATAAAACCACTAGAGTTTGGAACCCCTTGTCTAAGGGCTGGGGGAGGGACAGTTGTTTTTACGCAAGTTTTTCTCTCACATCTGGAGATTCCCCAAAGGCTGTAAACTCTGGGGGACTGAAGTACCGAGTTCCTTTGGCATTCTTGGGAGTCCAAAATGCAGGCATCAGCAGTTTCTCTGCCTTGGCAGGAAGGTTGAAATCCAGCATAAATACTGCACCGTTGAGAGGTTTGCTGTACCTTGCAATGCTTATCAGAGGACGACATCATTATATAAAGGACCATCACTTTTCCCCAAAGAATTGAACGGCTGTGCACTCCTCCTTCTAGGAGAGAACTTCCATGTGGACAGAAGGGCAAAATTAACAAGGCCAGGAGCCTATTGAGTTAGGGGATTCATGTTTCCTAGGCTGATGGATGGATAGTTTTCCATTTAACCTAGTCCCACTATAAGATTCTGCCAAGCATGTCTACTAGGGCTGCCTGGATGTCTGCAGGAAAGACTAAATACTGCTATTACTCAACCTGGATTGCAAGGAGAGTTGAGATTCTTTTATTAATAATGATGAAGTTATACTTTACGTTTATGTGGTGCTTGCATAATGTTTTAGACTTTTCAAAGAGCTTTCACATTATTCATTTTATCCTCATACCTGGGTGAAGTTAAACCAAGTCCATAGTTTTAGCCCTATTTTATTTTTTAACTAAATTTTATTTTATTTTCAGTTCCATATCTTTTCCCTCCTACCTCCCCATCAGCCCCCACCCTTGAGAAAGTAAGAAAAAAAAACTAGTTACAAATATGTAGTCAACTGGAACAAATTCTCATATTGACCATGTCCAAATAGATAGAGATATATACATATGTGTGTGTGTGTGTATATATATATAGTGTGTATATATATATATATACTATATATATACTATATAATATATATGTCTATATGTGTGTATATGTATGTCAATCTGTACTCTGGAGGTAGGCAGCATGTTCATCATGAGTCCTCTGGAATTGTGGGTTGGTCATTGATCAAAGTTCCTAAGTCTTCCAGAGTAGTTTGTCCTTACAGTGTTCTATAAATGTTCTGCTGGTTCTGCTCACTTCACTAAGCATCAGTTCATACAAATCTTCCCAGGCTTCTCTGCAACCATCCTTTTTTATCATTTCTTAAAGCACAGTAGTATTCACAAAAATATGTACACACACATATTATATATATAATATATATGTGTGTGTGTTATGTGTATCTATCTTGTTCAATCATTTTCCAATTTGATGGCCACCCCCTCAGTTCCCAATTCTTTGCCACCATAAAAACTGCTACAAGTATGTTTGTTTGTACATACCGGTGGGTTTCTTTACTCTTTCTTTGATCTCTTTGGGGTTTAGGCCTAGAAGTAATACCATTGGGTTAAAAGGTATGCACAATTTAATAGCTTTTTGGCATAGTTCCAAATTTTAGCCCCATTTCATAGATGAGAAAAGGGAAGCAAAGAGGGATTCTGTCCCATAATGGGATTAGGACCTGAAGCTCTTGACTCCCAGCCCCAAATCAGCACTCTTTATTTTTCTCTGTTTAACTGGAGACATGGAAAAAACCTTAGCACTGAAGTCATGTTTCCTTTCCCTAGCATGTCAGCATGAAGAGGCAGAGAGGCCCAGAGCGGGAGAGCTGCTGATTTCTAAGTAGTGTAAGCAAATCCTGATTTCTGAGTAGTGTAAGCAAATCGCATCTCAGAAGCAAGACAGCTCCAAAATGCTGACGAAGCCAGTTCCCAGTTCCCCTAAGCTACTGCAACACTCCCCAGATTCCTGTCTCATTCAGCCCAGGGACTGGACACTCCACAAAGGATTCCCTAGTTTGGAATTTTTAAAGGCAAAACAGGCTATCTTCAATGCAGTTTTCTTTTGCTCTTTAGGGAATATTTTCCTGTTCTTGCTTTATTTATGCAAAAGCTAAGGAATATAGGGTCCAGTGCAAAGGGAGAAAATCTTAACCAAGGTGAGAAGGCAGAAACAGCAAGTTCCTACTGATCTTGAATAATTCCACAGACACATCTTTTTAGAAATATCTTAATTTTAGGACATCTAAGTGACACTGGATAGAGCACCAGTACTGGAGTCAGAGAGGGCTGAGTTCAAATCCGACCGCAGATGCTTACTAGTAGTATCACCCTGGGCAAATTATTTAACCTCTGTTTGCTTCAATTTCATCATCTGTAAAATGACCATAGTAGTAGCCCTTACCCCCCCCCCCCCCCCCGCACATAGTAAGTACTTATAGAAATGTTAGCTATTATTATTACTACTAATTGATTTGCAACCTTATACTATTTTAAAGTGATAGGTAAAGAAAAACTTCATTTCCTCCATCACTCAATCCTGGGTCCCTTTTGCTGTCCATGTTTTAGAGCAGAGAATTTGGGGGTCCATGGATAGATTGAGGAGTGGGGAGGGGTGTTTGTGACCTGAGATAGGATAAAAATTACCTCTTTATTTGCACTCACTTTTTGTTTCC